TACAAACATAGATAATTCAAGTGCTAAAGTCATTTATTATATAATACTTATTAAATATTAATACTTGATCCATAAATACATTTAAAAATAAAATAATTTTTTTTTATTAAAAATATAAACGGGTTGGCGGGTCAACCCATTTATTTTTTGAGAAACTCATATATGATCCGTTTAATAAACGGGTTGGCGGGTTGGCGGGTTGAAAAACTCAACCCAAACCCATTTATTTCGTGTCGTGTCGCGGGTCGTGTCGAGAATTGTCAGCCCTAAGAACCTGCCAGGCGATTGCAAATTTGAAGAGGCATCAGCAGGATGGTGAATGGGGAGGTAAAGCCTTTAGATTTTCCGTTTATTCTATCTCTTGGTATATAACTGCTTTGCAAGATGCTCTGTTTCTTATTAAGTTTCAATTTCTCGTCCATTAATTACGTCTACATTATCCATTGTCAACATGATGTATTTGACATTGTTTTTTCAATTTTTTTTTGTTGTTGTTGTGTAGTTATACCTCGTTTACCACTTACTCATACAGGTACGTCTAGCCTTATTGCTAGTCAAGGAACTGATTTGTATCATTTTTTCCTACCTGTTTAATAAAAAAGTTAACTTACAGTTTTCAAGGATATTAATGCAAGACTATCAATTTTGGTTAAATGCTAATTTAGATGATAAAATTTGTATTTGTTAAAACGCTAAGGATTTGTAGACTATATGTCTTGGAGTTTGTTTTTCATTTTTCCAGGGTTTTGATCTTAAATTTTTGTAGTTGGTATGGGCATATGTTCTGGATTTCAATTAAAAATTCATTGATGAAATCGTCTGATTTTTACAATGGAGGTAATTAAGCCTTTAGATTGGTATAAAAGTAAGCTATGAGCAAGTTAGCTCAACAATTTAGAATACCCACCCATAGGAAAAGAACCCAACATCAAAACACACGACCGGTGTGTGAAGAATAAGAATACACTCTTATGTAGTCCTAGAAGCTACCCGTGAGAAAAAAAAACACACATAAAAAATGCACCTGTAGTATATTAAGCAAAAGGGGTATGTCGATCACCAAAAACTCACATTAAAACACGTACAATGAAAAGGAATGAAGTGAGGAACACACCACACAAAACCCACCCAATCTGGGTATTGTTGAAAATTGACCTCAAGACTCAGACATGATGGTCCAAACAGTTTTGTCAAACGTGAGACGACTTGAAGTAATTCTTTTGAGGCCAAATCAAAACAACTAGGAGGCATCATGGGCAACAATGGTGTATCTGGGCGTCTTGAACTCAATCTCATGGCCTATGGAAGATACAACTTCAACCCCGGACAGGTTAAAACACCATTCTTGGTTCTTTTGAGTCGAGAGAGTGAGTTTATTTCTTAAACCCTAAAAAATTGCCCCTTCTACATATACCAAATGTTTTTTCCTTCAAAGAATTGCCTACAACTCCCAACAATCATCGGAGGTTGTAAAGACTTCAAATTAGATGTATATCCTTATAAAACCTATAAACTCACATATATAACCAAATACTTAATTTAATTATAATTAATCTATTTAAAACGTAAAAACATTATCTTTAAATTGATTTTTTATAATTAAAAAACTAATTAACTTGTAACATTACAATATTACCCATCATCCACAAATCTCAAACATATCAATAGAAATCTAGATGTAACCGAACGATAACAAAGTTAGGGTTGATATCTCGTAAAATGAACCCGACCAATAATATTGACAGATTGAACAAAGTTTGACTGAGATTCAAGGGATTAGTACAACGATGAGAACTCAATATACACTTGTACAAAAAAAAAAAAAAAATCAAACCCACAATAGAATCCACCAATAACCATATCGTGAATAAGAAAAAAGATTCCCTTGATGATTGTATATATGAATTTTAGTAATTTAGTTACAATCTAATAATATTTTTATGTTTTAAATAGATTAATTATCATTAAATCAAGTATTGTGGTACATAATTTAAAGTCTTTTAAATATATATACCTAATTATGAATTATGAAAGTTAACAATGATATAGACGAAATTTTAACAATAATATAAAATGTTATCTTTTGTACAACACCTTTTAATTTCAAATAATATAAGGGGGATTTTTTAGTATATTGTAAAAAAATGTCTAGGACAGGTTTAGATCGGTTTGTGATGCAATCTCTTATGCTACTTGTTAGTTCTTAATGTTGTTGATACTTAAATATTCCAGTCACTTGACATCCTTGTAGACCACATGTTTAGTCACACATGACATTGCACTCACTATTAAATGGATCTAAAGACACAAATATTCCAGTCACTTAAAATCACTAGAAATTTGTGTAAGCATTGTAGTTTGCCATTGTCAATAGGATTCGAGTATCTTCAGAAATTAAAGGTTTGCCATATCCATTTTTTTTTCATGTTGAATGAAATTGCAATTAATATAAACGCGTGGGATTTAATGCTGTGAGTTGTTTGATCTTGCGTAACGTATTTTTACTACCCTGAATTCTTTACGTATTGGATTTTACATGACTTGGAACTGACAAGTGTCATAATTTCAATCAGGAACCAACTTTGGAAGTTTCTTCAGTATTGGAGATGGACCCAGACAAAAAAAAAACAATTTGGGAATTATTGGGCCATCATCACCCCATTTTTTGCATAACAAATTGAAGATGCCAAAAAGATAAAAATTTATCGTGCTACCCTGAAATTTGAACAATGGCCAGCTCTGTTTCAAAAGAAATCGACCTACTAAAACTTCGCCCGCCTTATTATAATGATTCAATCAAAATCCTTTTCCGGTTTGGGTTTGATCCCAGAAGTGATGATTACAAGGTTATTAAGCTTACAGGTGTTGTCCGAGAACACAGAAATATTAGCCCATTTAACGGACCACTCATTAAAGATTGGCTGCAAGTTGAGGTTTATAGTATGAGAAAAGGAACCTGGGAGTTAATCAGTCAAAAGTTTCCATCGCATGTTATAAGCATTGCCTTACAAGATGAAGTTTGTGTAGATGGCCATGATGGCCATCTTCATTGGCTTGCTAATATTCAGGAGAATGTGATGAAACAAACTATAGTGGCATTTGATTTGGGAGTGGAGACGTTCTGTGAGATACTTTTACCTAATTCAATGCATGATTACAATGTGCACCACAGGAATGTGTTAGGAGTTTTGGGTGGAAAGCTTTGTGTGATGTCGGGTGTTAGAGATGGAGGATGTGAGGTGTGGGTGATGGATGAGTATGGGGTGGTGGAATCATGGGTCAAACTCATGCGTTTGGTGGTGATATTATACATCCATATGGATTCACATTACACAATGAGTTTATCTTTAATGGGTTTTTGACTTGTATAGCTCTGTACGATCCAATTGCAGACAAGGCTAAACGTATACCAATCAATAAAATATCTGGCAATAGTAAAATTCTCCAGTACGTGGACAGTTTTGTTTGGATAGTACCTGCTGAACGTGAGATCAGCCGTTGCAGCATCTCTCACTATGTGAATTTGAAAAAAGGGTCAAAAATAGCCAAGACATTCTATCTACTTATGTTATCTTTTTCTGTAAGTGCTTTCATGATGCTATTTTTCTTAATTTTGTTTTATGTCAAGTAATAAACTTTACTTTCTAGCCTTATATATTGCTATCCAAGGAGTATGTTTAAACTCGTATCTTGTGAAAACACAAAGAATTGCAGATTTTAGGAGTTGCGTTTGATTTTTCAGGCTTTTGCATCTTTTTTTCAGTTCTTTGCATTGGTTTCATGTTTTGGATTTTAATTGAATTGTATTAAGGAAAAGGAAGGAGCTAGCTGCTGAAATTTTTCTGATTTTAGCAGTGGATGTAAAGTCTTTAGGTGGGATTCTTGTATGTGGTCTTCTCGTTATGTTTGGGGTGGATTGAATGTGCATTTGAAGGCTCATAAAGCATTTAGTATTGTTCTAAGCCATTTGGCCCGTAAATTGTAAAGGTTTAACAAATACATCTCCAAGGAACATATTAAAAGTTTACATAAAGACAGTGTGGCAATTTGTCCGGTTATATTAAACTTCATTTAAAATTTGTTCATTGCACTAAAATTTATAATGCTTCACTTTATTCTTTTATTAATGATTTTTTAGTATCTTTATTAGTGTTGTAAAATACGACGGATTCAAATTGACTTAAATAATATTAGCTCAATGCGGAATGGGATCAAAAATTATCAAAGCGTAATAATCACAACGTAATACGAATAAAATAAATAGAATAGAGACACAGGAATTTACGTGGAAACCCAAATCGGGAAAAATACCACGGGCGGAGGAAGCCGAGAAACAATTCACTATAATTTGCAGTGTTTACAGGGATTATGAAAGAGATTACAAAATAGAGTGGGAGAGCTAAAATATACGGTGGTGTATCAGTATATATATGTAATACTTTTCTATATATACTTGAATAATTTTTGGTTGTGGTCTACCTATTGTTCTGCTGCAACACAGATATTTATAGGGAGAGTAGCCGTAAAGTTTCTTCCAATTAACACCAAATTACCGTAATGTTTGACAACTTTCTTACCGTCCAAATTTGCCGTCCATTGACAATAATAAACAATTGTTTAGCAAA